TTTAGCATACGAACACGGTCATGATGATCTTGACGTGTTGTGCGGTTGTGTTGGCCGTGGTCCCGTTCAAGATCATCCTTATGGTCGCCGTTTTGTACGGTTTTGTGATGACATCGAAAATCGGGAAGCGTCTCCAGAGTGATCCGGGCAACCGTCGTTTGAGGGAATGGTGGGACTCGATTCCCGTGATCCCCGTCGAGTTTGTGGACAAGGAAGCCGATAAGTCGGAATAAATAGGAGGTAAGTTGTTTTAAATATTGTTTCGCACTATCATCGTGAGGCCCAACATAAGTGAGACTCATTTTTTGTCTTTATATATGTATATACATACCTTTGTGATTAATACATCAGATATTTTTTCACATTCTTACAATCATATGATTACATGGGAGTGTCATCGAGGTTTGAACTAGTTAAGATGAAAATAACAATTTGGAAGTGTCCGAATTTTGGGGTGTTTCTTGTAACTAATGGGTAAATGAGGGGTGTTCTTGTACCTTTAAACGGGTAATGTGGATTTATAAATAGATCGAGCCTCGGGTATTTTTGTAATTAACCGATATTGNGGTCCATACAGTTCGCGAGCACATCGTGATGGAAGCATATACCTGGCGGGAAAACTGCAATATGTAGAACAAGGCAAAAGGGGATGGGAATGTGTGGAAGTATGGTGGATGATAACAAAAACAAAAGATAATAATGATGTGTTATGAGTATGCTGCCCTTAATACGTACTTGAATGATGTGTTATGAGTATGCAGCATAAAGTTATGTCTTCACATAAAGCCCTCTCTACTTTTGTCTACATGCATGAGTTGTCTTCGTCTTCATTCACATGTGCTTGAATTATTTGCTGAAGTTGAAATGCTTCAGCTGCTCAACACTCCCCTTCAACATGTTAGTGAGTATTTTAAAGTTATGTTTTTAGACTATTTTAAATATCAACTAATATTGAGTATTAATCAAATTCAATCACTTGATTGATTAAATGAATTTTTCTTATTTTTCTTAAATATATGTGACTTTATGAAATAAAAAATGATTCACGTAGTAGATGTTTATAACAAATGACAATATATTAAGATTATAAATTATATATAATTATTTCTTACTTTATGCATATTTATTAAAAGAAATGAAACATATTTTAAAATCTTAAAATTAATCAATTGATTATTGTCACGATAATTGAATGCCAACATGAGTTACTATATAGTATAGATATTTTGTATATCAATTATTATGTTTTTAAAAATATTTTTTTGCTTATATAATATATAGTACTTATTATAAAAGTACTATATAAATAAATTAATTATGAAAAATAACATTTATCATTACTTAACTCTTTATTAATTTATTTTCTACCATTAACTTATTTTTTAATGAGAAATGATAAACACAAACTTATTAAACATCATGATAATTTGGCATAATTTCAAAATTGGTCATATAATTTGGCCACAGTCTAGAAAACCACTCCTATATTGACAACTTTCAAACTAGGTCCAATAACTTGACAATTTAATAAATTCTGGTCCTTTTTATCCATACCTTGGATAAAAATGTGACGTGGCATTATGTGGCGCCCAGTCAGATTAATTTACAATTTTTCAGCATTATGTGGGACACCTTATTGCCAAATGGAATAACACATAGATTAAATTAAAAAAAAAAAACAAAACAAACAAAACAAAAAATTTGTTGTGCCAAAATTGAAATAAGCCAAAACTTAAAATAAAAAATTAAAGAAAAAAAAAAATTAGACCGAAGTGAAAGAGATAAGGGATCGATCCCTTCCACCATTCCTCCATCCCCATCCTTCCATCAAATATGCCACCCAACAGACCCCTCTTTAGTTTACTTTCTCACTTGAAAATCAACTCCCCCTTGCTTCTTTACAGGAGGAATTTTTTGTTTTTATTTTTTAATTTCTTTAACACTATTTTTACTTTTTTTTGGACAAACAGATTTTTTTTTTCCTTTTTTGGTGTGAGGAGGACGCTTGCTGCTTGGTGTTAACTGGAGATGGGTTGCATAATATATGTGCAATTCTTAATTCTTGGTTCTTCTGATTTTGTGCGTTTTGAGAAAAGGTCCAAGCTTCACTGTATCTTGTCACTTGTACTTGCCGGAAAAAATAGGTTGTCGGATAAAATCACCGGTTTCAGAGATGATGGATGTCGTTTGGTGCGCGGCTGCCCAAGGAGTCCGGAGGTATCCTTGGATTTCGGTGGGTCGCCGTGAATTGCCGGAAATTTGAAGAAGAAGACCGGATTTTGACCGGATTATTCTAGATCTAAAAATTTTGACCAGGGCAATTGACGGCTTTATCGGTAGAATTTTCGCAAAAAAATTTAGAAGGTGAATAAGAATGAGAAGGGCTTCAAGTCGATGTAGAAATTTTTCCGATCGGAGGTGGCCGGAAAATGGCAGCCGATAAACGGCGACCGGAGCGTGGCGGCGGACGGCGGCTGCTCAGTTTTTGAAAATTTTAAAATTACAAGGGCTGGTGTTTTAAAATTTAATGAATTTTATGGACTAATTTGCAATTTCAAAAGTTGTAGGTAATTCCAACTAAGATAAAATACACGCCATGTCAATATTTAATCCTGCCACATAACTACAATCGCGCCATGTCAATGCCACGTCACATTTTTATCCAATGGACGGATAAAAAAGGACCAGAATTGATTAAATTGCCAAATTATAGGACCTACTTTGAAAGTGGTCAATATAGGGGTGATTTTTTAGACTGTGGCCAAATTATAGGACCAATTTTGAAATTATGCCTGATAATTTTATCTGCAATTAAAATACTGCAAATGTTCGATTTAGGATATTAATGTAAATAACTAATTTCGTTTAAATTTTATTGTGGAAAACGTAACACCTAAAATTGTTGTCGTCGATTTTTATATATATTTTTAATTTTAATTTTTAAACATGATACGTAGTTGTTTTCAAAATATATGACACATAAATTGTTCAAAAAGTGGACAATATTTTGGCCTACAATTTTAAAAATAAAAGTTCACAATAAGAAGCCCAAAAAGCAAGACAATATTTAAGCAAACAATTTTGAAAGCTAAATTTCATGCAAAAGGATAAAAGTAAATTTTAAATTTTATTCAAAAAAATTTCTTAATAAGTAAGTCAAACTATTTAATCAAAAATCCAACTTTCCACTTTTAGACAATTCATCAACATCTTATAAATTTCAAGTAAATCCCCCACTCTATTATATATAGTAATAGATTACAATAATATAAAATCGCAAGTCAACCACACCAAAGTCTATTTTTTTATCCAAAAAACAAAATTATAAGTTAACTGGCAAAAAACAAAACAAAAAAAAAAAAACATTTTACAAATATAATTTTAAATATGTTTTTTTTTAAAAAATTTAATTTAAAAAACGTATTCTGAGAATACGGACTTTTGAGCTTTGTCCAGAAACTTTTTTATTTGTTATTTTTGTCCACTTATTTTTTTTGTTTTTTGTTTTATATAAATTACCCCACCAAAGTCATCTACCACAATATATATATTTAAACACTATCCATAATAAATAAAAATACAACATCCAAACAATGTCCTATTTTCTACTTACCCCTTCATCACTCAACGAAAAGTCGCACTACGATTGCCAGAAGCCGGAAAAGCCTGGCGCCTTCGACCTTGTCCAAACTCTGTGGGGCTCTCATCCTTCCCTGACTTGTCCTTCACCAAACCCTTTTTCCTGTCTTGTTGTTTCTTAACACTACCATCATCATCATCACCCATTGCATCTCCTTTGCGATTTCCCCCAAATTTCACCTGTTTTCGTGCAGCCTCATAGTCAAAAGGCTTCACCTCCAAGAAAGATGGAGATTTACCAACGCCTTTACCACTTATAGTCTGAGCTGGCGAAGGTAGGCACTTCTGGAAGCTGGAAGACAGGTCATCGAGTGACATGGGCTCATCCATATCTGAACCCGAATTTTGTTCTTGCTCCGTTCTTTCAGGAGGGTCATTGGAGCTGTTGGGGGCGCGCGTGTCATCTCTTGCCAGGTCATCATTGGAGTCTGAGTCAGCATCCAAGATGATCATGTCATCTAGAGTCGAGGCTGGGACAGGAGCTGAAGATTCTGTGTGCTGCGCAGTATCGAGATTCTTGGCAGTTTCTTCAGGATATGTTTGGAGTCTCTCGTTCATGTCCGAGAATGTAAGGAAAGGAAGGGTAACCGTTGATTTTATCTGATCCAGTTTGCCGCTTCCGTGTACCTGGAAAATTTTAAGAAAAAAGGAAAAAGAAAATTGTTTTAAATAATCAAGAGTGAAAAAAAGAAAAGGAAGAAATGAAGCAGGCCAAAAGTTCTCTCTGGATTAAGAAACTTACTGTTTTTTCATCAGGATTGAACTTCCTCTTTGCTGAATTTCCAAGCAAGGCGCCAAAAGCTCGGCTAGGCTTCTTCAGCAGCTGAACAGTTGCTTCAGCCTGAAACAAAACAAGTAATAATTATTTTAATTTCATTTTTAAAACCATAAAGATTCACTACAAACTTCATCCGTTCAAGCAACCAGGTACTTTTGAAAACAGGTTACTCGTCAAAGGGTACTAATGGAGACAAGTTACAAAGAGTTTAGCCTTTTGTAATGCATTAGTTTAGTTATAAGCAACTTACAGAATGTGATGAGCTCATATTAGCATGTCCATCTTTAGGGTCTCCACCAAGTACAGGCTGCGTCTCACTCTTATCATTTGCAATACTGATATCATTTTTACCCTTTTCACTATTTTCCCCAATCTCAACCACAGGATCATTACACAAACTGCAGTTTTGCACATTATCGACTCCCTCAACAATCTTCGATATTTCATCAGGAGCTTCAGAATTTGGCACTTCTGTTTCCTCTGTGGCCAAAGTGTGTTCTTCGTTTGCCTGCATATAAAGATGATCCATTACAAACCAGAATAAATATATATTTGATCCAAAAACGCAGTATCCTTTGTAGATTTAATCCACGCTACATCATATGTTGTTACTCCTGATATTATGCACGCGTGTCTAAGCAAGAAATAAGCATGATCGATAATCGAGATAACAACACACGGAAATACAAATCTAGAACATCTCGAACCCATACTGAACACTCACCAATTCCAAGCGTCTTTCATTAAGAAGTTCAGCAGCCTCCTCAAATGCAGAGGCATTTTGAATTGAGTGCCTTATAATACTGACAACTGAACCAAGATTCCGTTCGATATAAGGGTGCTTAGATTTCAAGACCCGACGCAAGTGGTTTGTTGTGAGAGGCGTCTCCTTAGCTTTTCAGCCCCAAAAGTAAAANGAAAAAAAAAAAAAGGCAAAAGAGAGAGAAGGGATTAGTCAAACAGCAAAGATCATTAACATTCAATAAATAGTGCACAACTATTAGCACAGCACATATAGAAATATTTGAGAGAAAGCAATTAGTATTTAGTAATAGTTGAAATATGAATTAGTAGGTTCTCACCAATTTCAATAAGAATTCTATTGGGCAAAACATAACCAGTACTCTCATCTTCTGAACGAGCAATGACATCCCTCCACTCACAAAGTCCCTGTAAGCCATTCGATAGTTCAGTACAAAACACGTAATTGACAGAAAGCAAAAGTAGCATAAAGATCTAGGAAAAATATAAGTTCATGGTTTAAGGCTACAGTGTGGTTATTTAACTCCCACAGAACTCTCCTATCACAGAGGAAAATTAATAATGAGAGATCACTAGAAAAGCAGAAAATAAACAGCTTGCGAACAACGAACGTACAGAAACAACTGCTAGCTGTTGAGCATTCAGCCCAGCACTTTGCACCCTGCATTAACATTACAAAACATATCAAATCAGCAGAGCTAAAAGACAAAGCTAATACCATGTGTCAAAATGGGAAAAGACCACATCTTCACAGGATGAAAAGAAAAAAATACCCATAAATATGAAGATGTGAAGATTCTGTCAGAAGCTCTTTCTCATAGAGTTGAGTGCAAATATCATAACTGCGTTTGTAGACCTTCAACAGACAAAACATAGCTGTTAGATAGTCGCAGAGAGTAAAGAGTCGAAGGACGAAAAATTGTGCAATAAATACCCATATTTGTTGGAAGAAAATGTTAATGTCTTCCACTTGAGCCATTTTAAGCAATCATTATACAAGTAAATGAGTCCATCTTTGAGACAGCTTATAACATCCAGTGTTCTCTTACTGCTAAGGCTATAATAGAACTACAGTACCAATCGAACAAACAATATACAAGTTCAGGGACTTCACCCAAAATCTCTACCAAGCACTTGTTCGATAACAATATGCATAACAGTCCTTCCACAGCTTTATAATAATATCTACTAACTGATCTAAAACTAACACTCGGCTCAGTTAAGTTTTTGTGATAAAATTTACACAATTCGCAACCTATATCAGGTATTTGTGGGTGCATATGGAACCAAATACCCCTATATTAAGTCCCTTCAGAAATATCAAACAATTAGAAGAGACAGAATAACAATCACAGGTTATATTACTCTGCAACAAAATTGAGGGCTGTCCAGCCTATGAAATGTAAATGTGACTCTTGACGAGTAAGGACATCCTAATAGGATAGAGTCAAAAAATTAGAACTCATATTTATTATGCTCCATACTACTCGAAACCAAAATATGACGAATAGATGCCCATAACCACACAACACTCTTCAGTATCAAAATATTACCGAGCAGTCAACAAAATCGGGAAATAGTTGGCTAAAATTGAAGTTTAAATAATTGAAAGTTCGAATACAAATTCCTCACAACTCCCAAAATTGATGGATATAAGGTCAGAATAAAAGACTCTCAGAACCTCGAAAATAACAATCTTCGACACACAACTAGCATGCACTCCTCACGGACCTCAATGTTTCGACATATTCATCACTTCCGTGTATTAATTTAATCACCTTGCAAGTGTCTCGTCCATTACTTATATAGTTTGCTGAAGTAACATTGACTGCAACTCTCATATAACATTACATAAATGGAAACTCAGGTTTCTAAGTAAAGGGGTCTTCTACTTTCATTCGACTCTTCTAAGAGCATAAAACTAATAATGAAGGATATTATAGTGCTTGCCTCAATAAGAGGAGGATCAGAACTTTCAGAATCGGCAGATAACTTGAGCAACCTTATCCTCATAAGATCATATATGTACAACAAATAATGTGTATCTTCTCTTGCATATCTGGGAAAAAAAGTTACATTGAATAACGTTAATACAGTTGTTATAAAAGCTATTAGCTTAAGATGCTTCACCCATGATACCATATATTTAACATGGATTAAACCAAATTCCTAGCATAACATCCAATTAAATTGTCTAACCGAAACAGGCTTCCAGATTTCAATAGTTGAGCACAGTGCAGAAATATATCTAGTCTTACCAAAATTCATTCAAGATTTCTATCCTGGGTTGTTGGTTCCAGGACTTACAAGAGAATCTAAAGTCACAAAAGGAAAAGGTAATTCCACATTTTCAAAAAGCAAACAATCCACTTGACATGAAAGGACAACAAGAATAGTAACACTGACTTGGACAAGACATGCAAAGAATGTCTGACTCAGAGCAAAGATGCATACGAATTAACAATAGCAATTTGGAAAAAATGAGGCTTTAAGCTTCAGAAGCAGAGGAGAACAGAGCCGTGCCAATCTATGAACTAACAAATCAAATACCATTTTGCACTCAAATATATATTTGGCAGAATTTAACCACATATGACAAAGAGGTGAAACTACATATACCAATAGCTAACAATGTCAAGTAAAAACTATAGAGAAACCAATAAGACAAATTATTGTAGATTACATACTTGATCATCTCCTGCGGAAGAGGTCTAATTCTCCAATCTGCATTCTGGTATCTGTGACAACAGACTAGTTAGTCTGAGAAAACATCCTCTCCATCAACAAATCTTATCTACTAATCCATCTCTAATTCTCTATTTTTACTTTTCTTTGTGTGTGAAGTGTGCAGGATTGTTCTTTCAATTATTCAAAGTGGTAATATCAACCATAGTAGAGGGAAAGAGAGCATACTCTTTGTTTGCTGTAACTCCACAGAAATGATTCAATAGATGTTCCAGGCTGTACCTTTCCATTTTCAAAACCCTTGAGGCCTATTATAAAGAGGAAAATAGTACTCAGCCACAGTATCAGACAAAGAAGTATCACAGTACTTCAGGCACATGCTCCTTTAATGTACAGACATGGAGAAGGGAAAATTATTTGTTAAATTTTACACAAGTCCACGAAAAGGCAAGTAGAGAAAAACTGCAGCTCCGTGCCACCAACACTAATGCTTCGATCATTCTTAGAGTTGTGTATCTCTTCTAATTAACTATGCAAGTCTGATGAGATGACAAATTGAAATCCTTTAAACTGAAAGCCAAGGGTAACCTAATGTGGGCACGGAAAAATCTGTTATGCTCTAAACCTATCAAACAAATGGTCGTATCCAGTGTATTCAGCATTTACCCGCACTGTTCAAATTCAGAAATTTTATGCATACAAAATAAATTTACAGTGCTCGATATATACATTACAATTACCCATAAGGCTCTACTGTCATGATACAAGAAAATTTTGATCATTTTTCATAATGAATAGTAAATCCAAACTCTATTATAAAGTGCATAGAGTTCTAGAAACAAAATTAGCTTGTCCTTCTAGGAGGAAACAACAAAAATGCCTGATGGATATTTAAAAATAACAAAATAAAAAGAAACCACATATTTCAAACAAATCAAACTACGGTAAAGTACCTGTCCCGTGTCAAACATATTACAGACATAAATGCCAAAGTCTCGTTGAAGCCACATGATATCACGGTCTGCTCCATGCATTACCTAAATCCATACATCAAAATTCACAAGTAAAAGGAAAAGCTGCAATCAGAATAAAAGGTAGTAACAATATTAATAACAATGATAAAAAAATAAATTAATTAATAATCTGAAGATTTACCTTTCTCTTAGTTGGATCTTTGAATACTTCTCTGAGATACGGACCAATGTGAATGCGAAGTTTCAGAGTATCAATGATAAAGTCTTCCGTTCTTGTAGATATTTGCATCAAACATGTCAGCCCTTGAAAGGACCTATAATGGTTGTGTTCTAAATCAACCTGCGAAACAGTAGCACATGCCCCAAATAAAAATGATTGCAAGAGGAATGAAAATTTGACTCTGAATTTAATTACCAAGCACTATCTTCTTAGATATATACCAATCTATATAATTTATTTCCTATTTATTTCCCACTTCTAAGTACAAAGAGAAAGTCAAGGTAGAGATTTAACAGAAGTTCAAGAATCAATGAGGAATTAATCTAGATTATCGGTCAAGCCCTTCAATAAACGGCTCACGGTTTAAGCATTAGCTGCAGTGAATACTCAAACATAAAACTGCACATACTGTTGCACAGAGTGAGAGACAGATAATCATTAATAATTTCCACCAATCTGTATCACCAAATAATAAAATGAGCAAACATTACCGCAAATTCATTCACATTACGCAGCGAGATGGCTAACTTCTTCAAGTCTTTCACATCCTCCACAAATTTGAGTGGCGTAAGTTCGATCGGAAGAGGTTTTTCGGGTTCATCTATACTATCACTCATATCAACAAAGTCGAGTACGGAGAGCTCCTCCTGTAGCGCAGAAGCAAATAAAATTAACACTACAGATGCATTTATTTTATAAAAACTTGAAAGAACATACTTACTTAGTGCCCCATGAGCAACATCAGGTATATATAAGCATGTAACTTTATTAGAGTAACTCATCTTTGTTAGTGATTAGTTAGAGAAAAAAAAAATTATATCTGAGGCAACTTTGAACTTTACACGTATAGTCGGAATTATCCAATATGTAATTTCAGTAATTAACATTTCATTGACAAATATTTCATTAATCAAAGTTAAATATTAATAACATAAATTCAACACATCAGCAAAGGTCCAACAACTCTCCTATATACTTGATGGCTTTCTATGGAAATAATAGTTTTGCTATTCCAACACAATTTACCCATTCAATCTCTCCCTGCTTGATCTAACAATATTTGTTCATTCTCAATACCCAGGTCCATAGGGTGTCCATTGAGTGTTTTGATGTGAGGCCAACGTATTCCATAGAAAAAAGGGTTCTTTTTGTTTATCACTACTACTCCAGGAAAGACTGGATACACAATTTGGCAGCTGCTGCACATTTGACTTACAAAACAAGCTCGGCCACACAGTTTAGCTATAAGGTGAGTTTTGCGGGACATCAGTTTTCAAAAACAGAAATAGAACTAAAATATAATCCAAGTGCATTTAGATTAAATATCCTTGTAATATATTTCCATCTCTCTGCTATCTCATGAAACTTATCACCAAATCACACGTTGAGAAAGTGAATAGGCATAAAACTTGAGAAACTAACCAAAGGATGTAAGAACCTAGAACCATCCTCACTCCTCTGCAACCATACATGCTCAAACGGCTGGTTCGTATTATTCACAATGATCTTATACTCATCCTGCGGCTTCGTTATGGAAGGTACATGAAACGGGATTTTTGGCTTCAACTTGGTCGCAACCTTCACTTCATGAGCCCCTTTCACTTCCCCATCAACATTCCTCGCCACACCCCCCACAGGTTTCTTGTTCTTCTTTCCATAAACCATCTGAAACCCATCCTCATCAACCCCATTGACCCTCATCGTCCTCACGCCACTCTCCTCTTCCTCCTTACGCAGCCCCCTGAAATCATCCAAGGACACGTCAAACCTCTCGAAAATCTCGTCGTTCACATTAACCAGCCAATCGAGCGCCGCGTCATCATCCAACTCGACGTCCTTGTCGTCCGGCAGAGGGATTTGCTTACCGAACAATTCCTTCGACGCACCGATTTTCTCCAGCAGATTCTTCGACTTCTTGTCGAATTCCTTGATGGGGAGCTTGAATTCTTGAAAATTGTTGTAGAAATGGAAGTCCTTTCGGGAGGGTAAGATGCGCGACGAGCCGGAGAGCTTCGCCATGGAAATGGGCAGCGGGCCGTTGGCCGAGAGATTTCGCAGCATATCGGATCTTCTCTCGCCTTCGTCATTGGATTGGTCGATTTCCATTATCTTTTTTTTTTATTTTTTGTCTTTATCGATTAATGAGAATTCCTTGATTGGCATTGATAGGAGGTATTGATTTTGGCTGTTAGGGTTTTAGGGTTTTAAACAGATTGCTTATATGTGATGCACAGAGAAGAAAAGCTCCCGTGGGATTGTTTATGTTGATGCACAATCAACAATGCGTGCCGTACAACAGGTCGAAGCATAGGGGTTACGTGGCAGTAGATTGTGACATTGATTTGGTTTAACTAGTACATGATCGCACGGAAAATAGATATTAAATGAGTTATTTTCATAGGTAGTTTAAGTTTAAAAAGCAATGAATTATCATCTATTTTCCACCGTTTTTAAGTCGAAAAAATAATAGGGTTATAATCTATTTTTCACTTCTTTTAGTCAACATTACTTTTTAGTCAGAATATTATATATGAGCATGTTAGAGTTAACTTGTAAAATAATTAATATATTATCCCACTAACATATTTATACTAATATAAATTTAATTTTATATATATTTACTCCTTAATATAAAAGAAAATAACAGTTTTACTTATTATTGTTCATCATGTAATACTTAACTATTATTTTATTATAAACTTTGTTGTCATATAACGTCATTATTATTTATAAAAGTTATAGAAGTTGTACGTCTTCTTTTTCTTTTTATTTTATGTAATGAAAAATATTTAATGGACATTAGTATCATTTATTTATATAATCAATTTGTAAATAAATTTAAAATTAAATAGAATGTAAATATTTTACAAAATCTAAATAGATGTTTTTTCAGAATTTAATTTTGTATACTAATCAAACAATTTTGATTTAGCAAATGCCAAAAACTCAATCCCTTCTATAATCAAGATTTTTCTAATTTGCGGATTTATAGTTTATTTAACATACTCTGCAATGAAAATATATTTTACAAGAATTTCATTGTAGAAAGAAATCAAAATAAATAAATGATGAAAAAATAATAATCATGGTTGCCAATTAATATACAAATAAATTCTAGAACATGTAATATATTTCAATCTTGTAATTTATTATAATGAATATCAATGAAATTATTGCAAATATTAATAAAATTATTTATGAAAAATATTTTTAATTATATCTGATTTGATCTTATCTGAAAATGTGTATATGGAAGCAATTAATGTATATATTTAAAAAGTTTACAAAAAAAGGTATGCAATAAATGCTTTTAAAATTTTTTACTACTATTTTAAGTAAATAATTAATCTTATTATATATATATAGATTGGCAATTAAAATAAGACTAAAATCTTTCTGTGATTTAAACAAAGAAAATAAAATTTTTCATCAATTTATAATAAACGTTGTCGTGTTTAATTTTTTGTTAACAAACAATTTATTTTATATTAAAAAATAAAAGTTGCCAATCATAACAACTGTATTAGCTATTTTTGTGTTAAAAAAATCGATTTTTATTTAATCAGCCGAAATTTTTTTCATTAAAAAAGAAAAAACTGTCAAATATTTGAATTCTATTAGCCGAATTTATTTTTCTATAAGTTTCAGAATTTGAGAAAATAAAAATTTAACATGCAATAGTGTGATGGTATGTTTAAAACAGTACCAACTTTTGTGAAAATCATAAAGGGACATCCGGTGAAACGTGGTCATGTAATAGTAACAAACTTCACATGGTATGGACTGCATTTAATGCCCTTGTTTTATTTTCTTAAAAAAAAGAAACTGCCATTAATGGCAAGTCATTAATGATGAGGGGTTTTAACCCTAAATTTGACCTGCTATTTTTGAAAAATGGTAATTCTTATTATATATATATTTACAAAAGTTGTAAAAATATATACAAAATTCATTACAGTAATATTTGAGTAACACTCGCATAATATAGAAGTGCTAATTAATAAATTTATATGATCTAGTGAGCAGATCTTTTCGGAAGATCTTTTCGAGTGAGCAGATCTTTTCGGGTGAGCAGATCTTTTCAATCAAGCTCCTCCAACTTCCAAAAACCTTATCGAGTGAGCAGATCTTTTCGAACAAGCTTTGGATCATCGCAGCATGCAGCCTGCCGGCCGCCATCAGTTAGCGGCGGTCCCCCAAACCCAAGCCGTGGTTCGTGAATGGCCTCCCGGCGAATTGGAGTACCTCCTCAGCCTGCCGGCGGCCCAAATTTCATCTGGTCAGTATCCCCTTCTGCCGGCGACAAAAACCCCCGACGGACTGCTTTGCCCCGTACTCAGCGTGGTCCCTCTAAACTCCGAATCGAGATCTATAGCCCTAGAGAAAGCTCCCGCCGCAGCACCTAAAGCCGCCATAAATTAGAGTGTCGTCTCTGCAGGAATTCCTCTGGCTAACGGTGCTACAACAAAATTGATTCTCAACGGCCCCCGTCCTCATGTTTGAAAAGTGACAGCCAGCGGCTCATCTCCTTCGCCGTCGGAGGCCGACCAAACTTCGCCAGTAGTTCTTGCGGTCAACGTCGCCGAAGACCAAATGGTGGCAGCGCACAAACCTCAGCAAGCCCTTGTCACTGCTTCTCTATTTGGGCCGGTTAGTACTCCTTCTCTTATCCCTCCCTCCCTCTGGGACTTCTCTACGTAAGCCCATTCCTCTGTTTTTTGGGTCCAATTCAGTTGTGCCCATTTTCACCTCGCCCCATTCAAACGCAACCCCAACCCTCCAGTCAGGCCCGAACTCCGTCCTGCCCCCACAACCCGTCCCAAGCTCTGTCCAACACCTCCAATCCGCCCCTTTCTCCTCGTCAACACAAACCAATGGCCTAGGACCAGAAAAATCCTTCCTCTCGGCTGCTCAACACACCATCCCTACCGAGCCCTTCTCTTATGGCTCTCTTTCCCTCTCCGATAGCATCCCGAAGGTTCTTTTCTCTTCCCCGGAAGTCTAAAAAATGTCGCAGGACCTCAAATATGCCCTCATAGGCAAATTCTCCTTTGGCAAGCCCTCCAACAAAGCCATCCGATCGAATCTAGCTCTTTCGGGTTTTATGGGATGCAAAAAAAATTTTCCGTCATGCAAACCACGTCTTAATAAAAGTTGATAACCCAAATACGTTTACCAAACTTTGGATGAAACGCGAAATTTCTATACTAAACTTTCCAATGTGAATCTTTAAATGGTCCGCCGACTTCGACTACAAAAAAGAACCTCCTATTGTACCAGTTTGGGTCAAAATCCCAAGCCTTCCAATTTCGATCTGAAGGCCATTCAAACAATCGTCAACATCTTTGGCACGCTTCTTCAAGTCGACGATGCTACACGAAACAAAACTCGGCTTCACTATGCACGCTTTTGCGTAGCTTTGAATATCGAATCCCCCCACCCGATTAGAAACAAACGCATCGAACTCAATGTTGAGTTCGAACGGCTTTTCAAAATACTGTTCTTTTTGCTCTCATGTGGGACATGAGGTCTCATCGTGTTACATAAAAAACACAATCCTTCGCCCCTTAAAATCAACAAAGTCAACAAAGGTGAAAAACCACTTCTTGAGCCCACTCTCCAAAAATCTAGCCCATCCACTCAAAACTTTAATACTGCCCTCCCAAGCCCCTCTACTCCACCTTTTTGTACCCAATCTTACACCAACTCCTCTGGGAAAAAGCAACGGGTTAGGCGCAACATGAGGCAGAAGAAAAAACCTAACCGAGAAGGTTTTATCGAGATTCACTAATGTACTGTTGTGTTGTGGCTTTGTAGGGGAATAAGTCCCCCCCAAACTTCGACTTGTCTTTCCGAGAAGGTTTCATCGACTATTGTGGCTTTGTACGGTAATAAGCCCCCCCAAACTTCGACTTGTTTTTCAATAAAATATGATTGTTGATTTTAAAAAAATTAATAAATTTATATTTTAAAATAAAAAATAAATTAAAGTAAAAGTTTTATTAATGTTTTAAAATTTATTAGTTCTATTTAAAATTATACCCATCACTTGTGAACCTATTCGTTCTCATTATAACATAATTCTAAACATATACAAATTACGAATTAATTTATTTCTTTCATATGTATATACTTTTTTCATGATATGACATGTTACGACTTATGAGCTACTATCAATTATTTTATATTTAGGTAAATGGTTTCTCGTGGATTGTGGATTCCAAATCGACGTCAATTTTTGGCTCCTTTTCGAGGTACTAGATATCACCTTCAAGATTTTTCTAGTCAAGGGCGTCATCCTGAAAATGCAAAAGAATTGTTTAATCTTCGTCACTCTTCTTTGAGGAATGTGATGGAGCGGATATTTGGCATATTTAAATCTCGTTTCACAATTTTCAAATCAGCCCCTCCTTTCCCATATCGCACACAAGCAGAGCTAGTCTTAGCTTGTGCGGGTTTACATAATTTTTTGCGCAAAGAGTGTCGATCCGATGAATTTCCAGTTGACTTTGAAGATGGAGTTTCGATAGAAGATGAAACACAAGATTTCGGACCATATTTTGAAAGTCAAGAACAGGAACGAGAAGCCGCAAATGCATGGAGATTGAGTTTGGCAACGAACATGTAGAATGATGTTGAAAATATTTGATGTATTATTCATTTCATATTTGTTCTTTTTGATTTTTCTACTGTCCCTAAAAATATCAGTTAGACAACTATTGTACTCTTTTGGTTCTATTGTTGAATTTCTTCATGCTTTTTTCTTATCGAGTTATCTTGTTATAATATTTTTTTTCCTTTTCATTCTTGCTCTATGGATAATTCATAACAAATTTTAAGTTATTATAATTTTATAATTACTAATTTGACTTTATTGATAATAGTTATTATGCACATTATTTTTTATGAGCATTTCATAAAATTTATTTTTATATTAAGAAATATATTAAAGTCTTAGAAAGTCCAAAAAAGTTCACATTGAAAGTCTTAAAAAGTCTCCATGAAAATTCTCAAACAATCTCACAAAATCCACCAAAGTCACTAAAAGTTACATAAAGTCCACAAAAGTCATCCATCTTCAAAAGTCTTAAAAAGTCATTAAAAGTCTTAATTGAATACAACTCCCTAAATGAAGCCATTTTAAACAAATTGACCAGAACTCAAACACTCATGTTTTCAAAATGTACTTTTGAAAATTATATCCCTCATTTTCAAAACACTAGATTCAATCTCTCAAGGAGAATGAAACTACCGTCATCTTCAACAAGCACCATGAATTCGTCTGCCACAATCTTAAGACCATCGCGCAAGATTCTCAATCCCACGAATGCACGGGCCTAAAGTTGCGCAACTACTTGTCAAGCGCGCTGCCAACATAAAGCGCGACAAGGTAATTTCTTTTCTTATTCCCTAACCACCAAGTGGCGGATCTATCAACCTCCAGTGCCATCTCTTTCTTACCCCGATAATCAAGCAACATATCTCTCTCATCGATATGAATTTAAAAATAATGTTAACCTTTATCTTTTTTAGCTTTATCGGTGGGTTGAATAAACATTGGGTGCAATGTTTTGAAGCCCCCAATGGATATGGAAAAATTTTAAAAATAATGATAGACATAAAAATTAACCTTTTTCTTTTTTACTCATGTGTGGGTTGAATAAACATTGGGTGCAATGTTTTGAAATCCAGAATGGATATGGGTTAACCTCAATATCAACAGATTGTTGGTAGGTCAATTTTTGAATCGGATAAGTAATTTTAAAAATTTTATAGGTTGAATAAACAGCTAACCAAGAATCAAAGGCGCCGAAGGATTTCTCTAGCTAGGACTGTTTTGAACTAAGCCAAAGTTGTGGACAATGGCTTTAGGGGTACTCAGCGGCGGAGAAGGATGATTTGTTTTTTCATAACACGCGCTCAATCCCAGGTCATGAGTGTCAAGCCAATCGGGGGAATGACTAATTTGGCGTAAGACTAAGAGTGAACTCTCCTATTACTATAGACTATACTACATTTCGACACACTAAGGCAGACATGTGATAGGCATACGAATCAGCCGGGACCAGATGGGCAAAAATCCAGATTCCTGTTTACTTATCACGTCACCGCTCCCAAACAGATCAGTTGATGGATAGAGGTTCATCTTGTGTCGAATATGCCACTCCTACGTCCTTCAGCCGTTCTAACAGTGGAAAAAAGTCTTAGCCCACACTAAAAGAATAATAATAGTTAATTGGCGAGAAAAAGAGAGAGCATTGAGAGAATCGATATATGGGTTTAATATTGTGAAATTCGGTCTAGTATACGACTCTCAATTTGGAACGGCCAGACTCTCGTTTAATCACCACCACCGATAATTTTGAAAATTTTCCTTACTAATACCTAGCATAATCACAAACCTCAAACCTATATGTAAAAACCCAAAATAGAAAGGAAAGGAAAGCCTTTGACATCATACCCAATTACAGTAGATCCCCGACTTAAATCCAAATTTACCACATAATAAAATTTAATGTATAAAGAGATTACCAAAACTTATGCATTGAATTTCACTAGATTTAAATAGCACAATTTAATTAAAATCCCATTTTGTTAAAAAATAAAAAATCAAAGAGAAGGAACAAAAGTGAAAAGTCAATAAACACTAGCAAGTCGTTGCTAGTGGGGATATAAAGTGTAATTATGAAGCATATATACTACGCCTACTACCTAGGATAACCCACTTTATGGCAAAATCCTTTGTTTCACATGCCACCCTGTCCGGATCCGGATTCGGATCCAGTAATAAAGTTAAAAAAGCCCGGCCCGAACTAATAAAAACAGTGTACTATATACATCGACAAGGTCCAACCAAAACCCCCTCGATTTGGCAGTTTTCCTCGCAATCTTGGGGCGGGAAATAAACTGCTCACATTCCCCTTTTTAATTGCGCCTGCATGTTTTTTTCCTCTTTTCAAACATGAATACTATAATATTAAGCTTGTGGGCCTCTTTAGTCTTTACCACCCAACAGCCCCTGGTTTTTTCGCACATCCTATATAAATCTGCGTCCTCTGTTCTGCACCTTTTTCCTTAACCCCACAAACAACAAATTTTCTTTGTCTGACATTTCATCGAACAGCTATCGGGTCTTTGTTCCCAATTCGTTTTTATCATCAATATTTTTCTTTCTTGCTTCAGATCCGTTGTTTCCGGGTCACAACGCATACGGACAAACCCTTTTGCATGCCGGAGAAAAAAGATCGAGTCTTGTTCATAATTTTTGGAGAAAATAAAACAGGGGCGAACAAGTTTGGCTTTTTATTTTTTTGAAAAAAAATAAAGAAAAAAATTGTTTTTTCTTTTGATCATGTTAGTAGAAGCTGCGAATTTGGTGGAGAGGTTCAAGAGGCAAGATAAGGTTAGGAGTGTTCATAATAAGGTTGTAAAGAAGAAAAGATGTCGGAGAAAGGTTAGGATTCAGCTGAGGGAGCCTGCGAGGATAGCTTCCACGACTTTACAGGAGCTTTTTGATTGCTGTAAACACGCTTTTAAAGGGCCTGGGACTGTTCCGTCACCTGTCGACGTGCAAAAGCTGCAACTTATTATCGGTGATTAATTTGCTATCTATCTCATTTTTATTTTGAGCTATTTTTCTTTTATTTTTTTTTTAGTTGTCAATTGAATTGGAGATCATGTCATGGCCGTTCAAATTATTTTCCGTGTATGTTCTATCCAAATTACTTTTTATGTGTTCATAGTTTTTTATTTATTTTTTCTCTGTAAGTACGCTTTGAGATCATTTCAGTCAAAGACACGGTTAAGTGATGCACTTGAAGGGACAAAAATCGTTGTTCCTGACAATGCATATTTAGAAAGCCT